GAAGGGGTGTGGGGAGAAGCAGGTGGGGGGGGGGGGGGGGGGTGATTTTATCCTGGAGATGGGCTTGAAGCAGTCTCCTAAGTGTGTTTTGCATACACATATATCACACTGTTAAGTAGTATCCACAACCGGGTCTTCTTTAGTCACACATGTTGTCTTTATCAAAAAGCGCTACTTTGGCTACACAGCCCCGCACTACTGTGTCCTGTAATGATGTAGGAACCAGCAGGAGGTATGACAGAACGCAGTGGAGAACACAACATTCCAGGAAGTGGGTCTAATGTTCCTTCAGGCAGAGCAAAGCTTCCAACACAGCCGCTGGACTGGATAGGTTTTAAAAGAGAACTATCAAGTGTAAGCTTTTATTGGCTTTACTGCTCTTTAGGGTCACAGAGGTGTATTTAGTCATGTATTCCTGTGACCCAACATCATCTGATAGTGGGATATCTTATCTGACAAAGCAGAGCCACTCTGCAGCTGGGAAAGATCCCAACAATATTGTCAGGATCATCCCCACTGCCTGACTGACAGCTGTCTCTGCCTCTCTAGAACCAGAGCCAGCTGTGCTCATCCCTGCAATGACTGATGGAGGAACAGAGAGGGGAGGGGGGAATCCCTGTGGGGAACGCTGACTGTCAGTCATTACTCTCTCCAGGAAGAAGATCGTGAGCTGAGCGATCAGCGGTTACACGATCACTCTGCTCTTGGTATATAGAACTGACATGTGACAGCTGCAGTGTAGATTTTACTCTCCCAATTCTTCTCCTTTAAGCTGTCAGGTGTTATCTGGCTATTTTTTTCCTTCAGCAACAGGGTCCCTCCTAAAGTTAAAATCGCGTGCAACCAAACCAAAGTTACAATGACTGCTTCCTGCAGGCAGACATAAATATCAATATCAAACAGGATGAGAAGAGTCCAATTACTCGCACAGCAGGAAACTTTACTGGCAGACTCCTGACTGGCTCTAAAACAATAAACGGTCACAGCTCCCCTGACCAGCTATTAAAAGGAGAACTATGAGGTGAGTGAATTACACTCGTCACCATAGTTAGAGCCGACCTGTGACATTGAAGCTTTCACACGTCGGCTCTATAGATCGGGAAGTGAGAGAACACATACCTTCGCTCGCTCACTTCCCGATCATCTCCCTGCAGAGAGCAGTGACTGTCAGTCACCACTCCCCGCAGGGCAAAGCTGACTCTACCTCTAGATAGGCAGAGCCAGCTGTCAATCAGCCAGCTGGGTGGATCAACAGTTGCGTTGAGATCCCCCCCGGCTGCAGCTAGCTATATGCTGAGTTTTGGGTCATGGGAGGACGCAGTAAATGTCCTTCTTTGATCCTGAGAAGAACTATGGAAAAATAAAAAAAAGGTTGCCCCATAGTTGTCCTTTAATTCAGACAACACTGGCAGTGTATATGACACAGGACTATGCGAGTGACATTTCCAAGCAGACATTTCTCATATAATTACACACTATACAGCTGTCACATATGAGGACTGATACTAATTTGTAATCCTGAGCTTATGTTTTAGTTATCTGAAATCTGCTTTAAATCCTCAAACTAGAGAAATACTATTCATTATTCATCAGAGCAGCTTCTGCATTATAAATACGCAAAAGCCAGACGGATCAGCAAACCTGTTTACTTGTCTTCTCCTGCGCATCTGAAAAATACAAAATGCAGGTCCACAATTAGGAGGAATAATGCGTAAATAACAGATTGTATTACTGAATACTAAGCATTGTAAACTGTACCATAGGGTGCCAAGATGAGCTTGGTTTTGCCATTCAGAATCTGCGTTTCAAGCTTCAATCCATCCCTGCAAGAATAAAACATGAACACGATGAACAAAACGGGTCATGTTAAAGTAAAAAGTTATAGAATTGTACAAGTTAAAAAAAAATGAATTTCTCTTTGCTGCTGTCGGATACTTTCACTCAATTCCGGTCCCGTGAACTCACTGTCACCAGGAAACTTGGTGGAGGGAATCAATTGAGCTGCGTACAACAGTGAAACTTAACAGGGGCTCAAATCCTTCCTCACTTATGGCTACTAGATGAAGCTAATACTTATTTCCAATGCTGCCCAGCTCCATCTAGTGGCCATAATGCAGTATTTTCCTGATATTACTTTCAACCTGGAAAGAAAATATGCTAATAACATTTGTTTTTACCTCCATTTGCACAGAGCGAAGGTACATGCAATTTCACCGGCCAAATGGCTCTGTGATTTGTTTGTAAATACAACCCTGTCAAAAACCTGGACAATGCAAATGGAGCAGATGAAAATTGAGTAAAGGAGAGATCATCTTCCCGTAAAAGCACAAGTCTAATCAATCTGTAGATCCAGAGTGGCAGCTGAAGTTACATGCTAATCTCTACTTTTCCTGTTTGAATTGCCCAGGATTGTGACAGGACAACATCCATTCGGGAGACCAGAACATGACCACTATAGAAAGCCAACATAAATAGTGTAGGGTTGGTACCTATACATTGCTTCGGCGCATTGATTACACAACAGGTAAGCAGGCTATACCATCGATTTAGAAAGAGCAGATTACATTACATTAGCTGTAACATACAGCTGGTCCCCTGAGCACTGGCCATGATATCCTGTTAGAGTGGCTCCTTTCTCTTTGCAGGGTCCTATGAAGCCATCCTTGTGTGTGCTAGTAAGCTTTATGTGCCTCCACAAACACACACAAGGTTATTCACAAAAGTCTGAAGAGTTTGGAGAAGACAGGAGAAGTGAACAATCTAGGACAACATAGCTGAACTGGAAAGTGAGCTGAATATATTAGGCACTATCAGGCAGAGTGGTCTCCTGCCCAGCAGAGCGTGTATAGTTCCGGCTGCCATATTAGACACTATCAGACAGTGGTCTCCTGCCCAGCAGAGCGTGTATAGTTCCGGCTGCCATATTAGACACTATCAGACAGTGGTCTCCTGCCCAGCAGAGCGTGTATAGTTCCGGCTGCCATATTAGACACTATCAGACAGTGGTCTCCTGCCCAGCAGAGCGTGTATAGTTCCGGCTGCCATATTAGACACTATCAGACAGTGGTCTCCTGCCCAGCAGAGCGTGTATAGTTCCGGCTGCCATATTAGACACTATCAGACAGTGGTCTCCTGCCCAGCAGAGCGTGTATAGTTCCGGCTGCCATATTAGACACTATCAGACAGTGGTCTCCTGCCCAGCAGAGCGTGTATAGTTCCGGCTGCCATATTAGACACTATCAGACAGTGGTCTCCTGCCCAGCAGAGCGTGTATAGTTCCGGCTGCCATATTAGACACTATCAGACAGTGGTCTCCTGCCCAGCAGAGCGTGTATAGTTCCGGCTGCCATATTAGACACTATCAGACAGTGGTCTCCTGCCCAGCAGAGCGTGTATAGTTCCGGCTGCCATATTAGACACTATCAGACAGTGGTCTCCTGCCCAGCAGAGCGTGTATAGTTCCGGCTGCCATATTAGACACTATCAGACAGTGGTCTCCTGCCCAGCAGAGCGTGTATAGTTCCGGCTGCCATATTAGACACTATCAGACAGTGGTCTCCTGCCCAGCAGAGCGTGTATAGTTCCGGCTGCCATATTAGACACTATCAGACAGTGGTCTCCTGCCCAGCAGAGCGTGTATAGTTCCGGCTGCCATATTAGACACTATCAGACAGTGGTCTCCTGCCCAGCAGAGCGTGTATAGTTCCGGCTGCCATATTAGACACTATCAGACAGTGGTCTCCTGCCCAGCAGAGCGTGTATAGTTCCGGCTGCCATATTAGACACTATCAGACAGTGGTCTCCTGCCCAGCAGAGCGTGTATAGTTCCGGCTGCCATATTAGACACTATCAGACAGTGGTCTCCTGCCCAGCAGAGCGTGTATAGTTCCGGCTGCCATATTAGACACTATCAGACAGTGGTCTCCTGCCCAGCAGAGCGTGTATAGTTCCGGCTGCCATATTAGACACTATCAGACAGTGGTCTCCTGCCCAGCAGAGCGTGTATAGTTCCGGCTGCCATATTAGACACTATCAGACAGTGGTCTCCTGCCCAGCAGAGCGTGTATAGTTCCGGCTGCCATATTAGACACTATCAGACAGTGGTCTCCTGCCCAGCAGAGCGTGTATAGTTCCGGCTGCCATATTAGACACTATCAGACAGTGGTCTCCTGCCCAGCAGAGCGTGTATAGTTCCGGCTGCCATATTAGACACTATCAGACAGTGGTCTCCTGCCCAGCAGTGCATGTATAGTTCCGGCTGTCATATTAGGCACTATAAGACAGTGTGGTCTCCTGCCCAGCAGTGCCTATCTACGCAGTACAGATCTTTGGTGGAAGGAAGAGGAGAGACACAGTGGAGGTTAATGCCCGCAGCCGGAAGCGTGCACATCGGACAGACACCGGGGACCCCAGGAGTCTGCGCTGGATCAGAGACCGGCACCAGTGCTGGAGGGACTTCTCAATACAAGTGGAAGAAGATGATCGGATCAAGAGGCTGGCTCTTAGACAGGTCTTTCCAGCCTCTCTCCCACTCCTCTGCGGCGGTCTAAGGTCACATAAATCATCACATCCTACACACAGTGTATAGATATGAGGATGCTGAGAAACATTCCAACACTGCAGCGTAGGAGGAGACCGGCAGGAGGGAGTGCTGTGACAGCTGGCTGGCTCGGAGCTTCAGGAGAGTATAACTTTATTTCTGAACCTAGACAAAAATGAGCATTTCTTTAAAGGAGAAGTATGGGGTTAGGGCTTTTCCCCATAGTTCTCCTTAATAAAGTTCTCCTTTAAGAAAATCTACACCCAGAGTGGTTCTTTAACAGGGATCTGTGACAGCAAAGACTATAAGTCTCATCTGCCATTATGGCAGACAGACTCGTAGATCTCAATGGATCACAAGTGCAGTGACGTCACCACACTTGGAGTGCACTGTATCTTCCTCCAGCCCCATAAGAAGGTGGGCTATGCCTTTCAGGCAGCAGGCTCTGCTCCTTTCCCAGCACCCTCCATATTATAATGTCTAAAGACTACTCTCCAGGACTAATAGGGGAGTTCCGGCTGTCATATTAGGCACTATCAGACAGAGTGGTCTCCTGCCCAGCAGTGCATGTATAGTTCCGGCTGCCATATTAGGCACTATCAGACAGAGTGGTCTCCTGCCCAGCAGAGCGTGTATAGTTCCGGCTGTCATATTAGGCACTATCAGGCAGAGTGGTCTCCTGCCCAGCAGTGCATGTATAGTTCCGGCTGTCATATTAGGCACTATCAGACATAGTGGTCTCCTGCCCAGCAGAGCGTGTATAGTTCCGGCTGTCATATTAGATAAAGTTCTCCTTTAAGAAAATCTACACCCAGAGTGGTTCTTTAACAGGGATCTGTGACAGCAAAGACTATAAGTCTCATCTGCCATTATGGCAGACAGACTCGTAGATCTCAATGGATCACAAGTGCAGTGACGTCACCACACTTGGAGTGCACTGTATCTTCCTCCAGCCCCATAAGAAGGTGGGCTATGCCTTTCAGGCAGCAGGCTCTGCTCCTTTCCCAGCACCCTCCATATTATAATGTCTAAAGACTACTCTCCAGGACTAATAGGGGAGATGGTATACACTTCACCCTCTGTACAGGGCACGGAGTATAGGAGAGGGATGGAACGTTCCACAAATTCCTCATTTCCTTCCAGCAAACGGGCGGCCTGCACCAGCCGGTGTGTTAGCAGCCGGGAACGTCGCGCACACTCACCCCAGGTTCATGGCCTCCGCTCCCCTCGCTCTCATTCAGGGGGCCCCGGGTACCGCGCACTGTCAGCCTCCAGTCTCCTCACTGGCCGCAGGCATCCTGAGCTCAGCACTTCCCGGACTCCGCACTGTGTACGTTGGTTGCTGGCACGGCTCAAACACACACCTGGCGATTGGAGGAGCTTTCAGCCAATCGCCGCGCGCGTTACTTACTGTGTGACGGGTAAAGAAGACTACAACCAGCTGTCGGGTTGGCTGGCTGCCAGGAGCAGTTAGGCTCTGTGAAGCCATATTTGAGAAGGGCAGATTCTTGTGTATTGTTGTCACAGGTGTCGCTCAGCCCACTAGAAGTGATTTTAACTATAATGTTAATGGGAGTTTATGAGGCAAATCAGCTGCATGAGCTGAAATATTTTGGTTGGATATAAATAAAATGTTATATATCCATGTAGGGTTGCCACCTTTTCTTCAAGCGAAACCCGAACACTCTAGCGATGCGTAGACATTTTTTTGGAGTCGCAGCTTATTCATATGTAAATAGTGCCATCGATTAATATGTAAATATCACAGTTGAGGCAATTTTTAGTGGGGGACCAGTAGCCCCTATATTAATTTTCATTGCCCCTGTCTGCCTGACATCATGTGTCCGGGTTTCTGCTGCCATGAAACCCGGACACAGCATTCAAAACCCGAACTGTCCGGGTGAATCCTGGACAGGTGGCAACCCTATATCCATGTTTGATTAAAGTGGAATAGTGGCAAATAAAAAAAAATGACATATGATGTGGTTTATCACTAGTAGCAAAGCTTCACTCTGGCACATAATACTTTAATGTAAATACATTTCTCAATAGCTGTATAAAAAGCATCCAAATGCCTTTACCAACCAAGTTATTAGCTTACAGAACTTGCAGAGACATCATCACTAGGCTGTACATAACCTGTCCTAAGAGGAGAGCTGTGGGAGGGGCCTATGAGGTCCCACCCACTACCGGCTGACTGCAGAAACCTGTAGGAGGAGACGAGACCAATCACCCTGCACAAGGAGAGAGAGCAGTAGTGACCGGTCTTTATTACAGGAAGTTCCTGCACAAAGGAATAGATTCACACTGGATTACTGCACCAATCTAGAAAAGATACACAAAGGACATCGTGGTTTTCAGACAGAATACACATGCCTATTGTATTTAGACAAATCCTAAAACAAAAATCTAATATATTGCAGCTTACCAGTCAGATATGATGTCAGCATTCGTTTTCTTTTAATTTTTCCCCTTTATCTTCACCTGGTGATCCCACCAGTAATACACTACCAGTTCTAGTATGACAACACTCAATCACACTTCAGTATCAGGACAACAGAAACAAGGTCGGACTACATCACACTGCCTTCTCCTTTTCGCCATAGCAAGAAAGAGGCTATGTAGTCCTCAGAGATAGCTGAGAATATTGTAATTGATAACAGTGCCGGACAGATCACAGGAAGATATGAGTTCACAAGACTTCTGTCAGGATCAGCAGGTATTTTTTTTTCTAATCATACAAATATAACAAAACTTTAAATAGTAAATGTAAAACCAAAAGGGAACAAATAGGAAAGTTTTGTTTTGGGTTCGGGTATGCTTTAACACCGCAGCTTTTGTTTTCAAAGTCCCCCTGTAACATGGTTTTATTTCCAGTTGATCCTGCCTGAAAAAAGTTTTACCACCTCACCCTTTGAGAAAATTTGGCCAGGAATACAGTAAAAAAAAAATCGTTGGTGTCCCATCAACTGATCGATGATTGTTCAAAAGACCATTCGTGGACGATTTCTAATCAATAGGTGTATGGGCACTCTCTATCAGCATTTGATACAGGACATCAGGGCTTAATAAGACTTTAAGCTCTCGCTATCTACATCTCTATCTACCTTCTTCTCTGGCCACACACTGCTCTATTTTTTACTAGAGCAGATTTCTCCATCAACTCTACAAGTGCGTTGATTGAAGAATCCCAGTTGTTTCTTTTGTATTCTGACAGTAGCCACCTTTCCTGCTCTGGCAAGCTGCTGCTCAGATCAAGGGTCTGGTAAAGGGATTTTGGGGGGACCCCATGTATTGTTTTCTTTTTTTTTCTGGCATGGGGTCCCCCTAAAATTCCTTTATTTGGGGGGGGGGGGGGG